GCTCGTGTTCTCCATCCTCATCTGCCTCCCCATCTTCTTCATGGGCTGCTCCACTGGGCGCATAGAGGGTATCTACTCCCACAGGTAATGCAGGTCCTTGGGCTGCTCCCAGCTTCCTGTTTCTCCAGCCCTTGTCCCACTTGTCCATGGGGAGGGATACACGCAGGTGAAGAGGCAGTAGATTATCACCATGCTGCTGCCTGCTCCTTGATTCCACTGGCTGGAGGTGATCCAAGCAATTCCCAGCACAGAGAGCTCAGGAGGTCATTTATCCCTGACTTTCTATGCCAGACAAGCAGGATGCATTTTTCACTCTGGATTTCTAGGGGGAAATTTGGAATATTAGTGCCTGTGTTCACATCACCTCACACGCTTCCTGTGTTCGAGTTGGACACCACCTTTCTTCTCACCTCAGTGGATAGTTCTGATGACCCTTATCATGACTTCTTAAGATAAAAATAACATTTAGATACCACCAAGGCTTGATGTCAAGTGCATTGTGCTCATTTCCCAGGGGAAATGCCAGCAAGAAAAAGGTTTCTAGTACAATTTTCCTACAGGGATGGAGCAGCCCCATCCCACCCTGCCAGGGGCAGCACCCTTGTGCCACATTCCTGCAGGATTCCAGCTGTGCCACTTAGCAGATGCACTCCCTCAGGTAGGGAGGAAAGATAGGACAGGTTTGTCCTCTTGACTTCCATGCTGTCATCAGGCTTGTTTAGGAACGTGCCCGCTTCCCGTTTGAGTCTGAGTGGTGTTTCCAGCTGGGGCTGTTTGCACAGCTGCTTGCGCAGCTCTGGATGGAGCCCAGGTCCCTTTCTCCAGGAGTTTTCAGCTGGGGACGGAAGAAAAAAAAAAAATTAAAAAAGAAGTGTGTGAGTACTTGTTTGCAGACATAACATAGTTCCTGCGACATTCACTGTACACTTACAGAGGTACCGGTGGGGATCACAGGCTGGCAGGAGGCCAGGCTGCTGCTGGCAGTGTCCCAGTCCAAACAGGAATGGGAAAACTGGTCAACTGGTAAGAGGGACTTTTATTTTTCTTCTTTCTGTCCTATTTCTTAATTTTTTCCCCCATTTTTCCCTCTTCCTTTTTGGCAGTACACTGAGTTCCCAGCAGCAGGTTAAGGAGCCGAGTGGGTGCCGCTGCTCCAAGCACATCTTCCACCCGGTGTGCTGGGAAAAAACAGTGGAGTACATCTCGCCCTGCTTTGCTGGCTGCACCAGCAGCACCATCAATTCCTCCAACCCCAACCAAGTGGTGAGTAAAGCACAAGGTTTGCAAAGCAGCCTGAACCTTTGCTTGCTGGAGACAGGAAAGCAATGCTGCAGGAATCTGACAGATGCAACAAGGGGGTGGAACCTTTTTGGCATGGTGTGCTGGAAAGTCTACCAGGGAGCTGGAGTCCTGGGAAGGGCCATGGAGAATTCCTTGGAGTATGCTTAGAGAAACAGGGATGGTGGCACATCCCATTGCAGGATGCCATGGCTGTGGCCTTAAAATTGGAGCTCATGCTCTCGTTGGGCTCCTGCAAAGGGCTGTGGTCCAGTGCATCACTAAAATCCCCGCTCTTGGCTTTGTGAGTCTTATGTCTGTTCTGTTCCAAACATTTCCAACAGATCTACAAGAACTGTTCCCTGATCACTGCTGGGAAGCTGCTGTACTCAGGCTCCTGTCCGCTCAGCTGCTCTGACATGCTCCTTCCTGCCATATTCCTCATCTCCTTCGCTGCCCTGGTCGCCTGCCTGTCCCACAATCCTCTCTACATGATGGTGTTACGGTGAGCACTGGGGGAGGGTGGTGGCATGTAGGAGTCACAGGGGGCAGCATGATGTGATGGCTCCCCATGTTGGGGTCCATGGGATGTCATAAATGTGCAACCAGCCCAAGTCTCAACCAAACCCAGAGCCAGCACCACCAGCTCTGACCTCCCGTGGCTTCTCCCCTGCAGAGTGGTGAACCAGGATGAGAAGTCATTTGCCATCGGCGTCCAGTTCTTACTAATGAGACTGCTGGGTGAGTGTCCATCTCCTAATGAGTCTGAGGGGAGCAGTGGAGGTTTGCTGGAGCCCTAGAAGGTGTTGAACCTCATCAGGGACAGCAGCCTGACTCTGTCCCCTCTTCTCCCAAGCCTGGCTGCCGGCCCCGGCCATGTTTGGGGCGCTCATCGACTCATCCTGCATCTACTGGCAGCAGCAGTGCAGCCAGCGCCAGTTCTGCGCCTACTACAACAACGACTTCCTCCGCAACAGGTACCCCTGGCACCTATGCCCTGTCCCCCTTGGTGGGCATGGCCACAGGGATGGCCCCCAGCTCAGCCTAGGGCCAGCTGGAGGTGCCACCTCTGGACATGGCACCTCCCTGCTCTTCTCCTGGCAGATACCTGGGGCTGCAGGTGGGCTACAAGGTGGTGGGCACCATCCTGCTTGCCCTCATCAGCTGGAAGGTGAAGAGGAGCAAGGAGTACAACGTGCAGGAGAAGGCAGCGGGGCTGGTGTAGCCCCGAGGGACTGTCTCCACACCCCCACCACACACTGCCAGTACTTTGTCTTGTTCGGGTTCATTTTACCTCCTTTTGGGAGCGACCTCACCTCAGCAGCTCCGAGCTTCTCTCTTGCAGCCCAGGGCACCGCCATGCTCCTGGTGAGGGATGCTCTGTGCCAGCCTCGTCCTGGGAACGACCCAGGCTCTCCAGCTGCACTTGCCCATCACCCTTGGGAGGGGGCAGACCCCCAGCAGCTGGACCAGGAGGTAGAAAGAGGCTGGAACTCATGGACCCAGAGAAGTGCCTTCTGTGGGCGATGGTCCCTGCTTCGGTGTGGCATTTCCAGCCAGGTGTTGCCTTCCCAGCTGAGACAGGAGCAGGGACGTGGCTGCCAGCCCTGAGGGGCTGCCCAATTTCCCCTCACCCCTCACAGAAGTCAACATGCACACTGCACACGTGTTGTGACAAGTTATCACAAGGGGTTTGTTGCAGAACATTTGCAGTTTGTTGCTATTTTTATTTTTTAAATAAAGGTCACTTTTCCAACTGTGGTGGTTCCCTGGTCTCCCTCCACTTCTAGAGCTGTCCCCAGCAGCCAGGCAAGGCAGGGGGGATGCTGTGCTGAATGCCCAATATTCTGGATCATCAAGTCCAACAGGAATAGGGCTGCAAGAAGCAGCAATTTTTGACCTGAGGCTCTCCCTTACTTTGATACGTTTGTTGGCATAGACAATTCTGATATTTGGTTGCTCAAGCTGGTGCCTCAAAAGAGGCACAATGAACAAAGAAATCCCTGGGCAATTAATCCCCTTACAACTTTCATTCCCCCTCCCTCACATGACATGTATCAGGGGCTGGGGCCCCTTCCACTCCTCACAGTTTCGCTGTTTTGGTACCAAACTGTTGCTTCAGCCCCTAAGGTGGGTTTTGGTGAGGATTCAGTGGGTTCTCTTTTAGTCCATGCTGTGACAGGGTTGTTATACAGTTCACAGACCAGGATTTATGGGCTGTTTGCTCCAGTTATCAATTTTTAAGTAATACTTAAGCTGCAGTTTTGTCTATTCTAACTACTAATAATGATCCATATGACTGACACAGCACAGTCATACGGTTCAGATGAAGTTCAACCTGTGGCCCAACAATTGCAGCTACTTACGTCAAGCACTGAAGCTACTTTTATATCATATAAATTCTTCACTGCAGAGGGCTCTGGGCAGGGTCCAGTTGGCTTTGGGCTTTCTTTTAGAGGTTTTCTTGGGTAACTGTACTCGGCCTGTACTCCTTAAGTCATTGTTATGACGGGCAAGGCATTGTTCTTTCCTCTGTGCTCTTGGCCCTGCTGTATCTGTGCTCACAAAGGGAGTCAAGGGAAAGGGAAGGAAAGGTGAATTTGCTCTGGATCAGCCAGTCTTTGCCAAAACTGAGGTCTGTCCATGCTATTCCTGCCCCCCCTCCACCTGGCAGATTTTCCCTAAACACCCTTGGAAACCACCACCCTCAGGATGCTGATGTCCAGGCATTACTATTTTTCCTTTTCTCTGCCTTTCAGCAACCTCTCCTCCACTTTCAGTTGGTTTCTGCTACCCCAGATCTCACTGTGCTCATCGATCTCCTCCAAAACCTCTGCCTTTTCCAGGGGGACAATCTAGAGCACAACCCACAGCAAAAACACTGACCAAAAGACTTTTAGAGCACAGTGAGAGCCTCAGTCCCTGCAGATGTGTGAACACAGCTGGAGCAGAAGGGACTGAGTTTATCACATCCCACTGTCCTGCCAAAGCCATCCCAACACACCACTGCCAAGCTGCAGACAGAGGAGCACCATGCCTGGCCAGCACAAAGCCTCAGGCTGGGAACAAGGGCAGAAGAGCAAAGAACAAAGCACAGCACTGATTGAGGGGGGAAAAAAACACCCCAAGAACGTAACATTCAGAGTTTCCAGTTCCGCCCTTCTCCCTCTCCTTCAGCCCTGAATATTTGACAGGCAAGTCATGGAGTGAGGCCCAAAGAACACAGGGAGCTCTGCAACAGCCCCAGCATGGGCAGTTCTGGGAACAGCTCCAGCTTAGCCACACAGCCCTGCAGGGAAAGCTGAGCCATCTCCACCCAACTGTGAAGCCACGGGGTGCCCCAGCCACCTCCATGGCACAGCAGTGGTGCTCTGTCACCTAAACCATCACAGTCTGCAGCTGGCCAGGGTTTTCCTGTGCATGTCATCAAAGTGCCTTCTTTTTAATGTTTTTCAGTTGTTTTTTTGGTATGTGATCATCAATTTATCAAGGAATTTCCCTATTCTCTAACATTCAGACTAAGGCATAAACATACACCCAGAAACCCCCAACCCCAAAGCCCTGTGTGTGCAGAGGATGCTTTTTGACAACACACACCTGGCCACAGAGCAGGAAGGTTGATCCCAAACGTGCTGAGCAGGAGCAGAGCCCCATCCAATTGGATCTGACACCCCTGGGTAGGGCCAAGGCAAATACACAGACTAAAGCAAGACTTGAGAACAAACATTTAAGCAAAAAAAAAATTTATTTCAGGAATACTTTAAAAAAGAATAATTTAAAAGCAACCGTGGCCTCGTTGGTACCTTTCCATCCCCTCACACAGAGGCTGGTGCTTGGCCTCTACTTTTCAAGGAGATGCATCTTCAGAAGAACAACCATCCAAAAAAACAGCAATTTTTTGCCCCAAACCACTTCACCACCATTGATTTGAAGCTGGCAGCCTTGGATCTCCAGCTAAGGGAGCTCAAAGCATGACAAACATGTTCTGACAAGACTCTGGCTGCAAGAAATAGAAGAATATAACATCCTTGGTAAATATAACACTCCCCACCTTCTGCATGGATAGTGGAAGAGCCACTGGGTTCACGAGACTAGAAATGCAAGAATCAGCTTTGTTATGGGCACAGGACTTTGTGAAGGCTGTTCCTGCTCCTCTCAACACTTGGTAATGCTACAGGGAGGCAGGGAAAGCCCCAGAGAAAGAAAAGAACACAACAGATGAGCTGAACGATGGAGGAAGCACCAAACTGGAGAGGAGGGGTCTGCAAAGGACAAAAAGGGAGCCAGCCACTCCCTCAACTCTAAAACAACAGGAAGCCATAAAAATAAAGGGAAAATGTCCCTGCAGCAGGACACTGCAATGTGCAATGAGACACAAACTGGAAACATCTCCCATTTCTTTCCCCTCTTCCTTGAGCACCTTCCTCAGGAGGAGGAAGCACACCCATGTGCTGGCAGGTCCTTGATTTTTCCTCTCACTTTGCTACAACTGGCGATTAATTACACATCAAATAAGACCTTCCTGCAGCCACTGGAGCAAGAGGCAGCAGAGGACTGCAGGACAAATGCCTGGCACGGGCAGAGCTCGGGCATACACAGGATGCAGGTATGGATTAAAATTGTGCTCACCCCAGAGTTTCAAGACACGGCCCTCAGCTAAAGAACAACCCCCAAGAGCTGACCAAGAGAGGAAATCACTAAGGACACGGGGAAAGGGACTAAAGCACAGCAGCCAGCCTGGTTTGGGCACCCCACAGACCCTTCCAGCCATACAGAAATGGGGCTGCACCAATTTGGAAGAACGGGAAGGTAGGGACAGAGAGGAAAACAGCTTGTTATACTCTCCTCAATGCTTGCCCAACTGAGGGAGCCTGTGCATCAGCAGAGATGATGTGCAGCGCTCTCCAGCAGAGAGAGGCTGCGGACAGCAGCCCCAGCCAGGAGGTGATCAGTGGCAGCAGGGTTGCAATCTTAAATCAAGGCACAAGAAAGCACAGATTTCAGTCTCTAAAACCCACCTAGCAGCACACTCCTTCCTAATTTACTTGGCAACTACCAAATGAAAAGCCTAAAGATTAAGGAGAAACACAAGTACAGAGAGTCAGCTTCCCAGAGAAGGACAAAGAGGGGAGAGGATAAAAACACTGCAGTGTGAAGAGACAGAGGACATCACATCAGCAATTGTCATGTCACTCCCAAGCCCACAAGCAGCAGAGGAAGACACGACAGTGCTGACTTCTAGCCACAGTTCCTTCTTTCTACAGCCAATGAGAAGTGCTCCAGACCATCTACTTCCCTTCAGCCCCCAAGTGTCCTGCCCCCCAGCCCTGCCCTTCTCCGTTCAGGTGACCTTCACCAGCCACTTCTCCAGGCCCTCCAAGTCAGCATCTCCCTCCTCTCCCTTGCTGCCCCGAGCACTGCACTCCACGAATTCCACCTTCATGGGCAGCTGGGAGAAGTCGAAGTCCTTGCCCTTCTTGCCCAGCTGGGCAGGACCCCCTGAGCTGTCCAGGCTGGTGGGGGCTGCGGAGCAGGTTACCCGTAAGGTATTGCTGCAGAAGAGAGAAAGGAGAGGGTCAGGAACTGGGAACCAGGGGAACACCATGGCTGCTGAGATGTTTGGGATGCAGCTCTGCCAGTGGGATATAGCCATACCAAGGACAGAAGGCTCTGCTCCGAGAGGCACAGGCAGGAGCTCTGGCCACTACTGGAAGTCACAAGTGCAGAGGCTTAAGAGAGCAAGACAGGCAGGAGAGCACTCAAGGAGAGGTGCCTGAGCAGGTTTGGTTTTGCAACAAACAGCAGCCCGAGTCAGGTGATGATGCCCTCAGCTCAATTTCCCCACTGATCACAGGACTTACACGAGATTTAGCCTGCAGTGCTCAGGGTCTGTGCCAGTTTAACTGCAAAGGGAGAGGCTCCCGTGGCATCAGGGATCAGCAGGATCCCTGACACAGCGCCTGGGTGTGCCAGTCTGGGGATTGAGTCCCTCCACTACTCCCAGATATTCCTTATTCACAGAATGGAGCTAAATTAAAGGGAGAAAGGGAAAGAACACACCCAGAGGTCAGGAATAAGTGAGCAGACACTTCCTTGGGTTCTCCACTCACAGACATTGGAGTATGGCAGTGCTAGGAAAAGGATGGCAGCAATCTGCCAACCTGCAGGAATAGCAGTGGTAACAGGGTACATGTGAGCTGCCTAGAGACCCAACATTTGCACACAGGCAACTGGAAAATGCTCAACACCAGAACCAAGCAGTGCTTATTTCCCTGGAGAATGTGAATATGCGGCAACTAATTCCTGCCTTAAAAACAGGAAGGTCAGCCTGGGAGAGAATCAGCACAAATACCCCTGCTGCCGTCTGCTGGTCAAAGGGATTATTGGACCATTGAATCATTTAAAGTTGGAAAAGCCCTCTTAAGATCATCGAGTCCAAGCATAAACCCAGCACTGCTGAGCCCCCAGAAAGAACAGACTGCTCTTCTGCCAACTGAACTCAGACACAGCTCAAAGGAGCTCACCAAGCACTGAGGTAAGAGAAAGGACAAGAGGAGCTCAGAGGGAATGAGATCCCATTCTATACTTACAGCTCTTTCTCCAGCTGCTGTTGAATAAGTTTTGCTGATTTTGCCATTGTGACATCTAGAGAGAAAAAAGAAAAGGAAATCAGCTCTCTGACTTTCTATCAGAATTCAGAATCCTAGTTCTCTCCCTAAAGCAAGGCCAGCTCATGCTGTGCAGTCACCAGAGTTACTGGGACTGTTCCTGTGATGGATAAGGGATGCGGGAGCTTTGGGACTGCAGACAATGGGAACAACCAAACAGTCTGCTGCAACACAGGGATTTAATTCCTTCTTGCTGGGCAGGAAGCTGCTTCAGAAGATGGGGGTTTAACGCCCCAGCAATCCCACCTGTCCTGGCACTACAGAGCTCCACACAGTGCCTTTCACCCTGGGAATGTGGAAACAAAGGCATCCGGCAGCTCCTGAATCAGTGCACAAAAGAGCTATAAAACCCAGACCTGATACTGCCCAAAAACTTCAGATTGTTACAGGGGGATCCACACTTCCACCGTAAAAACTGTATGGATCTGAAAACCGAGTCCTTTCCAGTAACTGGATGTTCCTGCTAGTTCAAACCAGAAAAAGCACAGAATCTTAGAGGCTAAACAACTGCTTTTACCATTCAAGCTGCTGAGAGTGTAGAAATAGTTCATTATGCTCAAGCTGATCCTATTTCCTTCTGCCTGGAGACTGAGGAACAGCTCTGCTCATGCAGAAACCACTTGCCTTACTTAAGCCCACATGAAGAGCTGTAGGTCTCTCAAGTGGTGCTAGAAACACTCCTGCTGAATAGTGTAAGTTTAAAGCTAAATTCCAGCCTTCACTGGAATCCCAACTCCTAGAGAGTTCAGCACCCCTGGCATGAATCCCAGTCCCTGCAGGGCTGGATGCCAGGCCCAGCCCAGAGCACCTTGCTTGTTGCAGGCGATGAGCAGCGCGGGTGCATTCTTGAGGACGGTGCCATCGATCAGGACCTGGTACAGGAACTCTGCCACATCCTTCACCTCCCGCTGGAAGGCCACACTGTCTACCACAAACACGATGGCTCTGGGGAGAGAGGGAAAAAATGTGCTGAGGCTGCAGCTCTGCAACCATCTTCCTCTGCTGGGCTGATATATTCATTGCCACACCTGATCTTGTACAACACAAAAGTAGGGCAGCAGGACTTCCTGGCTGAAACATACTCCATGTCTACTGCCAGCAGGAATTCCTTCCCTCTCTGCCCCAGGAATATCCCACATCCCCCAACCCTCCCCACTACAGCTGTGTTGCTACCTGGTGCACTACAAGCACGGCAAAGTAAGGAATTCATGGTGTGATTGTCCTGTGCAGGGTCAGGAGTTGGACTCAATTCTTGTGGGGCCCTCCCAACTCAATATATTCCATGAAAGCAAAGTAAAAACTACACCCCACTACCCCACAGGAGAGCTCTGACTGCTGTGAGCTCAGCACAGCTCACAGCATTCCCAGCACCAGCACTTGGTTTATCCCTTTCCAAAACATCCCCTGCCCCTGCTGCCCTGCCCATCTCCTCCACGTTACCTGGCTGCAGCCTTGAACCTCTCCAAGAACTGAAGCCTCAAACTCTCATGGCCTGGAAGGTCAATCAAGGTCACACTGGTGCTCTGGGAACAGAAAGAGTGTGTTACCCCCACCTAATCTGGGGGTGCCTGAGGTTACAGACTGGGGACAAAAACAAACTTGTGTCCTGCAAACCCCTGACACAGAATGTAAACCCACAGCCTCTGAACCAAGTTACCTTCCACACATGGCAAATCTCCCTAAATACACCAAACTTCGCTGGGTATAACACAGAAGTGCCTTCGCAAGAGACTTTTCTTTTTTCACCAGAAAGCTGCAAATGTTTCCCTTCCCACAATCTGGCAGTCAAAGCCAGGGTGTGAAAGAGAAGGAATGGCTGAGCCAGGGCCACGTCACTGCTCTCCAGATAAGGCTCCTTGTTCTCCAGAGTGGAGGGAACACTACAGGAGACCCTTCCTGCCCACTGCTCCTTGTCTGTGATTAAAAAAAAAAAGAAATGCCTTGCAGCATTCCACTGCCTCTCCCCCTCCAAATGCCTGTCTGCTCAATCTTAGGGACACAAAAATTTTTAAAAAGCATCCCTCGCCAAGTTTTTAACCTTACTATCACCACTCTCACTGAAGACTGACAAGGAGAAGCCACACAAACACCCTCTACTTCCACAACTCCCTAGCAGTTAAGGTGCACCCAGCATGAAAAAGAGACTTTTGCAGAATGAAAGAATTGCCATAAGCTGCAAATAACAAGGTCTGTGGCAGCCCAGGACCTAAACGCAACAAAATCCTTTCTGAGACCACATAAAGTGTAGCTGGAAACTCTGATTAAGCCTGATGAAGCTTTTAATTTCACGTTTTTGGGGGAGAAACAGAAATTACTACCAAGAAAATAAAGCAACCATGACTGAACAATGCCCCTCACAAATCTCCCTTGTGCTGCCCCCACAGCCAGAAAGGTTTCACTGTTTGACGAGCAAAGTAGAAAGAACCTGCCCTAAATCCCAGATTTCCCTACTTTCTCCACGTGCACTGCCTGGAAAAATCCTGTCCTGCAGCAAAATGGGGACTGAGCAGCAGAGAAAGATCAACCCAGGTTTGGCCAGGGAGCAGGAGAAGGCAGCAGCTGCCGCAGTCAATTCCAGCCCCAGCTGTGCACTCACCTTGTCCCGGCTGACCTGGTATGTGGCTGAGCTGTCAGTGATCGAGGTCTGGGTGTCCCGGTATCTGCCCGACAGCAGCTGTGGGGAACAGGCAGTTCTCACAAAAAGGAGCCTGAAAAGCTTCAAAAACACTCCAAGCAGTGTTCAGGCTTTGAATCACCAGCATCATCTTTAACCTGCTCAGAAACTGGGATGGTCTGTGAGGGGTAAAGGGCTCCAGGGATCTGATCTCGATTGACATGCAGGAAATTACTGCAGGGGTCATTTTCCCCAATTAATTAAAAACTGTGCTCCTTGTATTTTCAGACTTAACAGAATGTCCTGAGCTGGAAGGGACCCACAGGGTCCAGCTCCTGGGCCTGCACAGACACTCCAACAACCCCACCATGTCCCTAAGAGTGTTGTCCTTGAGCTCTGGCAGCCTTGGGGTTGTGCCCACTACCCTGAGGAGCCTGTTCAGTGCCCAACCACCCTCTGGGGGAAAAGCCTTTCTCTGTTATCCAAACTAACCTCCCCTGACACAGCTCCAGCTGTTCCCTCGGGTCCTGTCCCTGCTCACGCCGAGCACAGATGGGAGCTGCCCCTCGGGGGGAAGCTGCAGACTGAGATGAGTTCAAATACTCAAAAACCTTTACCTATGACAAATTCAAACCAAAACACCCTTTCTTTTGACACTCCTTGGTAGACAAAACGCGGTCTCCATCCCTCTTTACAGCTCTGAAACCACCTTTTTGAAGGTCTCAGTAAGAGAACAAAACCCGAAATCAAGGGAGCGCCTTCCCCTACGTCCGCGAGATGCCAGAGCCGGGCAGCACTCTCCCCGCTCACCCGCGCGAAGAGCAGCGTCTTCCCCGCATCGCAGAGGCCCAGCAGCAGCACGGCCTTCCTGCTGCTCCTCCTGCCCTGCACGAACCGCCAGATCACTGCGGGAGAGAGGAGACGGAGGAGCAGGATGAGAAGGGGATGCCCGAGCCTGCGTCTATCGGCACCGGCGCCCCCTCCGCGAGGGTGGCAGGCCCTGGGGCAGAGGAAGAAGAGGTTCACGCAGCTTACGGAAGGTGACGGCGACGGCGATGAGCGCGATGAGTACGGAGAGCGCGGCAGGGCCGCTCAGCTCCCGCCGCAGTGCCCCCAGATCCGGCTCCAGCCCGCCCGCCATGGCCGCACACGTGGCCGCACAATACTTCCGCTTCCGTCTCCGCCGCACGGAGGAAGGGTGGGTGCGGGGTCTCATGGGAGTTGTAGTTGCCGCGGGGACTCTGAGAGACTGAGAGTCACCGGGGGAGCGGGGCTGTTGAGCTCGGAAAAACATGGAATGATGGAATGGTTGGGGTGGGAAAAGCCCTCCACGGCCATTGAGTCCAATCGTTTCCCCAGCACTGCCAAAGCCACCACTCACCCATGTCCCCAAGTGCCACATCCACATGGCTTTTAAATACCTCCAGGGATGGTGACTCCACCACTGCCCTGGGCAGCTGTGCCAGGGCAACCCTTTCCAGGAAGGAATCTTCCCTTATTTCCAACCTGAGCTTCCTCTGGCATAGCTGGAAGCCGTTCCCTCTCCTCCTGTCCCTTGTTTCCTAGGAGCAGAAACAACCCCCCCCCCCCCCCCCCCCCCCCCCCCC